GACCACTTTTTCGGCGAAATTTTACCCCGTGTTTCATACATCCACTTGGTTAATTGTCCATACCAGACGCGTCCGCCTGGGCTGCTCATACGCTCTTGACTCACTCTTCGCCCCATTAAATGCGTTATTTTATGTTAATATAGACATTTTCATTAATCCATCTATGATATTTTCTTCAAAATTATAAGAAACACATTACATAGCATATTAACATGCAATGTTTATATGCTATGGAGGGGTGGTAGTCGGTGAAGGGAAAATATTACGTTTTCTCTGGTCCAGCATTAGAGAAAACGTTCATGAATTTACGTTGGCCTAGTCACTGCCATTAATACATAACGCTTTTGTTTACAATTCTCGGCATGAGTTATTCATTACCTCTCCCTTTGTTTATGATGGTGTCTAAAGGCAGTTGTTAGAAACGATTAAACTCAGTGAACATGGTACGTCGATGGTAATAATATGGCTCTGGACCGCAGTGTAGGTACCCGGTAGGTGTAGCCCAGTATACCTACCGGCTACCTACACCTACCGGCTACCTACACTGACTTCATACAAATAAATACTACTCGCCTCTTGCCCTACATTAATTAACACTACAAATATTTTAAGGTAAGTAATGAATGTACTGTGTATGTATTTTACTTTGTGTTTTTTAATGCCAGTTCTATTACTAAATATATTTTTTGTTAATATTTTTGGGTGTCTGGAACGGATTAATTGGATTTACATTAAACCTTATGGGAAATATTAAATATTACTTCGGATTTCGACAGACCATCTGGAACAGATTAAGGACGAAAACCGGGGGTCCACTGTATATGTATATAATGTATATATATTATATATATATATATATATATATATATATATATATATATATTATATATATATATATATATATATATATATATATTGACGTGCCGAATAGGCAGAACTTGCGATCTTGGCTTAAATAGCAACGCTCATCTTGCCATATAGGAAAAGTGAAAATTTGTCTATTACCTGGAGTTTACCTGGAGAGAGTTCCGGGGGTCAACGCCCCAGTGGTCCGGTCTGTGACCAGGCCTCCTGATCAACCAGGCTGTTGCTGCTGGCTGCACGCAAACCAACGTACGAGCCACAGCCCGGCTGATCCGGAACTGACTTTAGGTGCTTGTCCAGTGCCAGCTTGAAGACTGCCAGGGGTCTGTTGGTAATCCCCCTTGTGTGTGCTGGGAGGCAGTTGAACAGTCTCGGGCCCCTGACACTTATTGTATGGTCTCTTAACGTGCTAGTGACACCCCTGCTTTTCATTGGGGGGATGGTGCATCGTCTGCCAAGTCTTTTGCTTTCGTAGTGAGTGATTTTCGTGTGTCTATGCAATAATTTCGCCAAAATCATTCTGAACCTAACGAAAAAAATATATTTCACTGCGTTTGTTTAGTATTAAATTACTGTAGACAAATCTAAAATATATTTAGCTGGGTTAGGCTAAAATAAATTGTTCTTGTTATAATAAGGTAAGGTAAGTTTTCTAAGATTCTTTTGGTGCAAAATTAAAAATTTTTACATTAACATTAATGGAAAAATATATATCTTTAAACGTATAAGAGAAAATTTTAGAAAGGACTTAATTTTAAATGAGTTCTTGCTAATTGACCAGTTTTACATATTCGGCACGACATTATATATATATATATATATATATATATATATATATATATATATATATATATATATATATATATATATATATATATATATATATATATATATATATATATAATTATATATATATAATTATATATATATATATATGAAATGTGTACGAGTGTGTCATGTTTCATATCCTGTATCATTTTACACAAAGAGAAAAACATAACTTTATGAAGCTCTATGCAGAGCAAAACGTTGTCGCATTATTTTAGACACTAAATGCACTAAACTATTACGGGAGCGAAACGTAAGTTGTACAAAGTGTTCAGTAACATGCGTGGAAGTGAAATTAAACAGTTTGTGCTAAAAGGGAATAAAAGACGTGTTAGTAAGGAATGGTTTAATAGAGGGTGATGGAAAGCAGGAGAGAAAGGTGTGGAGGGAACATAGCAAGTGGAACAGGCAAGAAAATCATTAGAAAGTCAAAAAGGCCAGATTTGATTTTATAAATACAAGGAGAAAAGAAGAGAAGGATAAGGAAGAGGAGGGGGGATGATGATAATAGTAATAATAGTAATAATAATGATGAGAAGGAAGAGGAGGAGGAGGAAATTTGGTAAAGGTAAACAGTGGACAAGAACAAGGTGTAAACAGATTTTTTTATTCCAGTTTGTGAAAGTTAAACTAAACGCTGAAGATAAACTATAAATAATAAATGAAGAAAGCAAAAGTAGCTGAAGTAGATGAAATTTGAAAGACATTAAACAGAGTTTCGAGGTGTTTACAAAGAAGATTTACGTAGTGGATTTTAATTAATCATAGACAGTCGAATTATAGGATACTGAAAACAATTCACTCGTAT